GGAATGTAAAATTCTTATGGGAATGAAATCTACATTCCCATGTTTGATTGGTCGGGAATCTCATTCCGATGTTTGGTTGGTCGGGAATCTCATTCCGGGTAATGTTTTATCAATAGTAGATTTTTTTGGTATATTATCGGAAATGTCATTAACTTCATTTCCTTAGGTATTGTTGGATTACCGTCATTTTGGACTAAAATGCCCTTAAATTTTTTTAAAAAAATATCATTATTTTGTCATTGAATAATAATTATTCTACGAAGGTTAAATTACAAATTTATCCTTAAACTATTTTAGATTTACAAAAAAACTGTAATTAAAATTTTATATGAAGTTCAGGGGTTAAAATAAAATTAAACCTTTTTATATTTTTAATTTTGTAAAAAAATATAAATTTTATGAATTTATTTTTTTAAAGAAAATATATAAATATTTTCCAACTTGTTAATATATATATATATATATATATATATATAATAAAGACAATTTGGTCAAATATACATTCCAATAATCTTTTATTCTTTTAATCAAACACGGTAATTTTACATTCATGCTAAACCAACCAAACACAAAATACAACATTCTCAGTAATCATATTCCTTGGTAATCTTACATTCTCATTGGTAATCTTACATTCCGTGAACCAAACGCACCCTTAATGTTTTACGGGAATTAAATACAGGAAAATGGGAAAAATATTTTTCGTAACATGTTTTTTCCCCAAACAAATAGACTCTTAGGGTGCGTTTGGTTCACAGAATGTAAGACTACCAGTGAGAATAAAAGATTATCAAGGAATAGAATTACTAGGAATGTTGTATTTTGTGTTTGGTTGATTTAGCAGGAATGTAAGATTACCGTATTTGGTTAAAAGAATAAAAGATTATTAAAATGTATATTTGACTAAATTGTCCTTATTATATATTTGTATAATATTACAAATTGTAAAAATTTATATATTTTCTTTAAAAAAATTAAATTCATAATATTTATATAATTTTTTTTACAAAATTAAAAATATAAAAAAGGTTTAATGAAAGGGTAAAATTTTTTTAACCCTTGAACTTCATATAAAATTTTAATTATAGATATTTTTTTTATAAATCTAAAATAATTTAAGGATAAATTTGTAATTTAACCTTCTTAGAATTTTTATTATTCAATGACAGAAGAATGATATTTTTGAAAAAAAATAAAAATTTAAGGGCATTTTAGTCCAAAACGCCGGTAATGTTACAATACCTAAGGGAAGGAAGATAATGACATTCCCGGTAATATACCCCAAAAAAACTACTATTGATAATAAAACATTAGCGGGAATGAGATTCCCGGCTAACCAAACATGAGAATGTGGGATTTATATCCCATGAGAATCTCACAATCTTTGAACCAAACACCTTCTTAGTGTTTTACGGGAATTAAATACGGAAAATGGGGAAAATATTTTTCGTAACATGTTTTTTCTCAAACAAATAGACTCTTAGTGTAAAGTTTTGAAACCCTTAAATTTCTAATTTAAATATTCTGAAACTCCGTGAAATTTTCAAAACTTCCAAACATATTAGTCTAGGTGTTTGGAAACTCTTCCTATGAGTTTTGAAACTCAGTATCATGCATTAAAATTTTAACCTTTTAAACTTAAAAAGTCCTTAAAAGTTAGCTTGAGTAAAAGGTAACTTAAATATATGAACTTAAACATCGAATATACATTTAACATGAAGTAAATCCTCAACAAATAAACTACAAACAAGATATGCATCTAATTTTAAAAGATTACGAGTTACCATCCTAGGAGTTTGTAATCAAAGATAATTACATTAAAAGAGTCGAAAATCAATTTACGAGCTCTAAAATACAATCTAAATTATTATACTGAAATCAAATAAAAAATAATGAATCAAGCAATAAAGATAAATAAAGAGACGATATTAATAGATATATAACTCATAATTTAAGAAAATATAAAAATAAAAATAAATAATTTGACCAACCAATTAAATGTGTTAAAAAAAAGTATTCCATCGATTATTTAAAAAACAATTACAATTTCCCCATGGTTTAAAGCAATTAAGCAATTTGATTTTGTTAATCCAAGTCTTAGGGTTTCCAGCGAAGTTAAAAATACAATTCCTTTAGAACGTGCCCCCTACTTGTCTTTTCCTCTCAAATCAATTCGTCGAGACCTATTGGAAATCCAAAGGTAAGTAAATATCATCTTGTTTGCCTTTTCTTTTCTGTTATCTATTTGTTAAATTAAATTTTATGCAAACGAGAATGTCTACCGTTTGGTACGTGAGAAAGTGATTCGCTTGCTTTTCGCTGAATTTTTCTTCGACCCCATATAGGCAAATAGTTATCTTTAGGCTTTATACTGCAAAGTTTAATTGTCAACCATATACGTAGAATTTTTTTCTCTTTAATTTTCCAGGTAATGTAAAAGCCCCTTTAGGTTCAGGTTCTACCGTTCTAGAGTTGCTCTTTACTCTAACATTTGGAAATTTGCCTGCTTTCTAGTTTCATTAATTTTTTTTGTTATGTTTCAAACTTTTATTCGTTATTTGATATAAATTACGTAGTTCTCTTCAGAACTCTCTTACATTGATTTTACAGAAGGATAGTTAATTTAGTTATGTCTGGAAGAAATCGTGGGCCACCTCCTCTTCCAATAAAAGGTCCTCCTCATCCTGGACTACTGCCTCCAGTACATGAACCTCCATATGCAAGAGGGCTAGGACCAATGCCACCACACCCAGCCTTACTTGATGAATTGCGAGAAAACCAATTTGGGTTGGGTCCTAGAGGCCTCCCTCCTCACCCTGCCATCTTTGAGGAGCGTCTTGCAGCTCAACTGCAAGAGATTCAAGGCCTCCTAGCGGATAACCAGAGGCTGGCTGCGACTCATGTTGCATTAAAGCAAGAATTGGAGGTTGCTCAGCATGAGTTACATCACATGGCTCAATATGCAGATTCTATGAGGGCTGAGAAGGATGTTCAGATGAAGGAGATGTATGATAAGTCAGTTCGATTGGAGGTTGATCTTCGTGGGGTGGAGGCTATGCGAGCTGAGCTTGTTAAGGTTAATGCTGACATTAAGCAGCTTAATGCTGTGAGGCAGGATCTTACAGGTCAGGTTCAAGTCATGAGTCAAGATTTGACTAGATTTACTGGAGAATTGCAACAGGCTCCTGTGTTGAAGGCAGAGATTGAAAATGTGAAACAGGAACTGCATCGTGCAAGGTCACATTTTACTCTCTGTTTTCGTTTCTTCTATTTTCTTTTTACTGGAGACTCCCTCTGAGAATGAAAAATAGTTGCATGAATGGAGTAGATGTCTGTGTTTGAATCCTTTATGTGCCTTTGAATTTGTTTTGAGGAGTTCAATTTATTGATTTGCTCGTGTGTCTTTCTGGACATGTAGAGCTGCCATTGAGTATGAGAAGAAGGGATATGCTGAGAATTATGAACATGGTCAAGTGATGGAGAAAAAATTGATCTCAATGGCTCGCGAGTTGGAAAAACTTCGTGCAGAGATTGCGAATGCAGGGAAGAGAAGTCATGCTGCTGCTGGTACTGGTGGTAATCATGGTATGTAGGCCTTTCATGAGATATTTGTCTCGGTTTGTTTTTTCCAGCATATAGGACTTTATCTCTGTGTCTTTTACTTCCTGTTTATCAGTTTCATGTGCCTCTCCTTCTGGTTTTCAATTTTTATGACATGAGCTTTAGTTAAAAGTTTTTCAATTAGAGGTTTGGTTGGTTTTCAATATGGCCTGAGGCTATTTTGTGTTTTCAATATTGAAAAAACATAGAAAGTACACAAATCAGTTTTCAAAAGTTTGAGTAAATTTACTCATTCAATCTGCATTTTTATCTTTTTAATGCTAATTTCTTTTGGCCGAATCTCCTTTACATTTTATTTAACATGGGGTCTAGTTAATTGTCTGATTAGTTCACCTAGTGATTCATATTATTTGAGTAGTGATGATCCTTAAGCTCTGGAGGCTTGATGTAAGGAGCTTGATTTTTCTGTCTATTTAAGTTAATAACAATATTTTTTCCAAACCTTTCTTTCAGTAGTAGCTGGTTATAATGCAAATTATGGGAACCCTGAAGCTGGATATACTGGAAACACTTATCCTGTCACCTATGGCTTTAATCCTGTAAGTTATGCTGTTTTATATATTTGTTCGACTATTTTGAATGTGTGCGGGTTTAAATTTATATGGACTTGTATGTGAGCTGCATTTGCAAGTTGTATATTCATTGATTATTGTGTTAAAAGAATGATTGGTTATTTTGCTTTTTTTCTTCCTTGTATTTGAGGTACAGGGTGGTGTGGATGGTTATCCTCAGTATGGACCTGGTGCTGGTACCTGGGGTGCATATGACATGCAGAGAGCTCAAGGACATCGCTAGTGTGATTTCTACAATCATGCTAAGATGATTCATCTGGTATTTCTGGGAAACTTAGTTCTCTAGGCTTGGGTTTGAAGTGTTATATCATGATAGGCATTCTGGAATTGTACCCAAAAGAATTGACAATTTATATTAGCTTGAAATTTCTGTATGCTGTTTTCTGCTTGATATTATCTAGTGCAAATATTCTGTCAGTTCATTTATGATAAGAATATTTCAATTTGATACTTTGCTCTTTATAGATATTTTTATGAATTTTGAATTTAGATATTTGGAGAAAGATCAGACCTTGCCATGTCTTTTTGAAGCTAGATGTTTGGTTTTGAAGAATAGGAATCATTAAAATTCCTTTTTTTTTTGATAGGAAGTTAAGGACTCGTTAAAAACCCCCTTCATGATTAACGGAACACCAATTGGTGTTCCATAATCAGCAGAAGGAGGAAAAGAGTGCCTCATAATTCATTAATAAGTAAAAGATTACATAATGTTTAAAACAAAGAAGCCCCTTACAAAAACAACCCGAAACACACCAAAGAACACATCTTTCACTCAATTAAACAATATCCCAACCCAACAAACAACAACTACCCAATACCAGCCTTAGCTAAGCTATCAGCTTCTATGTTTGCCGTTTTGTCAACCCATCTGATAGCTCCTTCCAAAACTCTTATCATGGCAACAATATCTTTGACTAGATGAAGGAAAACACCAGGAGAACTATCTAAATTCTTAACCCAATCCACAACAAGTTTGCTATCAGATTCAACAATCCACCGATTCTTAAACCTCTGAAGAATATGCTCAAAGATAAGTACACCCCTCTTGATGGCAACAAGCTCCAGCAAAGTTGGAGGGCCTGGATCTGCAGATTCTTTAAAAGAACCCATAATCTTACCAGCCTCATCTCTTAGTAAACCACCCACACCGCTCTTTCGCCAATCATTGCAAACTGCTGCATCTACATTCAGTTTTAGAAAACCCTTTGGAGGAGGAATCCAACACACAATTTTAGTAGCCGAATTTCTGGAAGAAGAACAGAAATCTGCAATAGATGGATCACTTATCTGGGAGTCTTTAGTAATAGTAACCTCGTTGAACTTAGCTAAGAACCAAGAAGCAAGCCTTAGCCTAGCCATGAAAAATAACTCAATGTGATCCAAAGACCTTCCTTCAAACACCACATCATTCCTAAATTTCTAAATGGTCCAAAGCACTACCCCCGGAATTAAGGACCAAATAGAAGAAGAAAACATCATGTCATTCCAAGCAAGTAAAAATCCTTGTGCATTTCCATGAAGGACCGAACTAATATTCCAAAAATTCAAAAACTTGTTCCATAGGGACCATGCCACCGTACAAGAGAAAAATAGATGAGGAATAGATTCAATCTCTCTTTTACACAACGGACAAGAAACATCAACAATCCCCGAAACCCCTCTTTTTTGAAGCTCAAACTTAACTGCCAATTTCTGATGGGCTACTTGCCACATAAAAATTTCTGTTTTAGGAGGCACCAACCCCTTCCAAATACATTTCTCCCAGAAACTATCTTTTACTGATTAAACAAAACAAGTCTTCATACAAGAATTAACAGTAAAAATACCTTCCCCATTCCCTCTCCAAATCAGGCCATCTCTTGACTCTTGGGATGGGCTGAAATTATGAATGATGGCTAGAAAATTAGAAAACTGTTCTAACTCCCAATCACATAGGTTTCTTCTCAACTGGACATACCAAGACCACCCCGATGAATTGAACTCACCAAATTCCTTAATTATCCCAAACTGATTCAATGAAAGAGCATATATCCTCGGGAAAACAGTCTTCAAAGGATGATCAAGAGCCCAAATATCTACCCAGAACCTGATTCTCTCCCCATTACCCACTTTGACTTGGAACATGCTACTTATCTTGGCACCAAACTCATCCTCTTTAAAATGATTATTAACCACCGATTTCCAAATCCAAGAAGCATTTGTAGGATATTTTTTAGAGAAAGAAATCAGATTATTGTCCTGATTATATTTGGAACTTATCAACCTCTTCCAAATTGATTCACTGTCATTAGCAAACTTCCAAAACCATTTTTCTAATAAGGCCCTATTCATAAAATTAAGATTCGGCACACCCAAACCACCACAACTTCTTGATTTACACACTGTTATCCAGTTGACCCAGTGTATTTTCTTAGATTCTGCCCTTCCTCCCCACAAAAAATTGGCCATGATGGATTGCAACTTAGTATTCACTGCTGCTGGAATTTTAAACATAGACAAATAGTATGTAGGCAAGGAACATAATACTGATTTTAATAAAACTAGTCTCCCTGCCAAAGAAAGAGTTCTTGCCTTCCAACCCGACAGTTTCTTAAAGAATTTCAGCACAACCGGATCCCACAGAGCTGAAGAGTTCCTTTTTGCTCCAAGCGGCAGCCCTAAATAATCAGAAAGGAAAGTACCAGCTGCACATCCAAGATCCCTCGCCCACTCCTTGACCTCTTCATCGGTAATATTAATGCCAAATAACTTACTTTTGCTTAGATTAAGCTGTAGACCGGACATAATTTCAAAAACCCTTAGAACTCTCTTAACATTTAAAATATCCGTCTTAGAGGCATTACAAAAAATAATAAGATCGTCTGCAAATTGCAAATGGGATAGCATGTAAGAACCTTCTTCTTTGCCGACAACCAAACCATTAAACAACCCCGAAGATACCGCCTTGAGAAGCAATTGATTAAGTAGCTCTCCTATAAAATTAAACAATAATGGGGAAAGTGAACATCCCTGTCTAAGACCTCTTGACATTGAAAATTCCTCTGTAGGCACACCATTAACCAACACTGAAACTGATGTTGTGGTCACACACTTTCTTATCCAGCTGCACCATTTTATGCCAAAACCCATTTTGTCCATGACTTTGAAAAGAACATCCCAATCCACTGTATCATAAGCCTTCCGAAAATCTACCTTAAACACACAACCCTTCAAGCCTTTCTTTCTCCGAATTTCAAACCTAGTGAGAGAAGCTCCCGCTTCTCTCTTGGTTCAAGGCGTCTTTTATTTTTCATCCATCATTTCATCTCATCTTTTTCCATCGCCGCTCGCCCACGTCTTTCATCATTGTCCTCCGGCCGCTGTTTGCCGTCCGACATCCGCCGTCCGCCGTCCGACATCCGCCGTCCGCCGTCCGACATCCGCCGTCCGCCGCCACTTTCCGTCATCCGTTCGCCGCCATTTTTCATCAGGAAGATCGTCTCCTCACTCTGTTTTCTTTTTTGAGTTTGGATTTTCGAGAAAGTCTTTCTTTCGGCGCAGATCTGATCGCCGTTATTTACCGTTTTTGCCGTCGGCCGTCATCAGTTCATCGTATGACCTTCGGGCTCGTCTTTCACTTGCGATCTTTTCCTTTTCTGTCCTGGCGTTCAGTCTTGCTGCCATTCCCCGTGAGTCTGCCTTTGACCGGTTCGACTTATCATAACAAGCCAAGGTTCTGCTAAGCGATTCCCCCAATCTAATCCACGTCTGAGAGTTTTGCTGAAGGCAGTATCTGATTTTCACGATCCCGTTTAAGTCTGAGGGTTTGGTAGAAGGAAGTTTACGTTGTTCCTCCTTTTCGAAGGCTCAGGACCTTCCTGTCCGACTCTCTTTATCCCTACCATCCTTCTCTTCTTCGTCAGCCAGTCAAACATTCTCCATCGCCGGGCGCGCGACAGGGATTTTACGTTAAGTCACTGAGATTTCCTCTAATGTCGGGTGAAGGAATCCTCCCGTGTAACCAGAAGAGACCTCCGGTCATAGCTCCTCCGTCCTCTGCAGCCTCGCCTTCTTCGCCTAATCATCATTCTCATCATGACAAGGTTCGTACCATCTTCATTTCGGGTCTGCCTACAGATGTCAAAGAGAGAGAGTTGCAAAACTTGCTGAGATGGCTTCCAGGTTTTGAAGCCTCGCAAGTGAGCTTCAAGGGAAAAGAGCCCAAGGGTTTCGCTCTATTCTCTACTGCAAAATTTGCTGTTGCTGCCAAAGATACCCTTCAAGAGATGGTTTTTGATGACAAGTTGAAGTCTCTTTTGCACATTGAGATGGCAAAGAAAAATCTGGTTGTTAAAAAAGGAATGGGTACTGATTCTGTTGCAGTGGACATTTATAGCTGTCATCCTGTTCCTCCGGTTTTGCCTGTGCCAAATCCAGCTCCTGGAGAGCGTCTCCAAGTATTCATGTGCATGATAAATCTGGGTGTTATGTTGAAAAGTCTTCCGCAGTTGCTGTCCAAGATGAATCCGGGGAGTCCACCACAAAGGATTGCATCAATGACAAGTCTGGATGCTTCACGTTATTTATTGATAATTTACCAGAGAAGATCCATTGGAAGAGGTTTGGATCTTTATTTTGCTCTCATGGCCGGGTACTTGATGCTTTTATTCCAAATAAAAGGAATTCAAAAGGAGTTCGTTTTGGTTTTATTCGCTTCGCATCTTTCGAAGAAGCAAGGAGAACGATCTCTAAAATGAATGGCTCTTGTATCGACGGCAGCAAAATTGGTGTTTCTTTCGCTAAATTCAAACCTCGTCATTCATATTGGAGAAAGTCATCGACAAGTATTCTTCGCAAGTCTGGGATGGAAGATGTTCCGAGTAAGAATCATTATAAAGTTGAAGGTGTTATAGATGAAGAAAAACTCCAGGTGTTGAGCAATTGTCTAGTGGGGTGGTGCAAGGACTTTGTTAAAATTGGTCATCTCGCTAGACAAATGCAATCGAAGGGTCTCACTGGCTTCACATTAATGAGAGCTGCTGGTAATGCGATTTTAATGATTTTCGAAGACAATGCTTCATTGAGAAGTGTAAAGAACGACAAATCAAAGATTCTCGCAGAGTGGTTCTCCATAGTCGAAGCTTGGTCAGAGAGTTTGGTAATGGAGTGTCGTCGAGTTTGGCTAGTTTGCGAGGGTGTTCCTTTTCACGCATGGAATTGGAATACTTTCAAGAACATTGCTGATAAGTGGGGTCTTTTATTGGCTATCGACGAAAGTTGTCAATCTCCATCATCCTTTGATCGGGCTAAAATTCAAGTCCTAACAAAGGCTGATGCGAGAATTGATTCGATGGTTGAATTGAAGGTTGGTGACAATTTCTTCAAGGTCATGGTGCATGAGATAGAACCTTCATTCAAACCAAACTCTTGGGCTCTTGAAGAATACAAGTCTCATTAGATCTCGTCTCTTCATTTGTGGTTTTATTTTAGTCTATATGGTTGTAGGTGTTGCTTTCATTTTGTATTATGTTCTGTCGCGTTGTTTTATTACTACTGTTGGTGGTGTAATTAGTAGTAAGGTGATTTGACTGTGGCTTTGGATGAGGTTTTATGAGGTTAAGGTTTTTGTTGTAATGGTGTACATCACCATGAGAGGATATTCCGTGGCGTCTTTTGTATCGAGTATTATATTAATAAAATCTGAGGTACTCTTTTCTTCCTTCCAATGTTCGTTAACATACTTTTAGTATGTGAACGAATACGAAGGGAGTTTTTAATGAGACCTCCAACTTCTATAAAAAAAAAAGCCTTTCTTTCTCCAAAAATCTATTCCTTCATTAGCTATAAAAGAACAATCCAAGATTTGTCGACCAGGAGTAAAAGCTAATTGTGAAGCACTAATGACATCGTTCATGCAACATCTCAACCTTCTTGATAGACATTTCGAAAGGATCTTATACAATCCACATACTAAACTAATAGGTCTGAAATCATCTAAGCCCCCAATGTTTGAACCCTTAGGGATGAGGGTTATGAATGTGTGATTAATGCCATGCTCCCAATTTTTTCCCAAGTAAAAATTATGAAAAAATTTCAGAATATCAAATTTCAAGGTGGACCAAAACCTTTTGAAAAATCCCATGTTAAACCCATCCGGCCCTGGTGCTTTGTTGCTATCAATTCTGCTACTGCTTCTTCCTCTTCCTCTATCTTTTGAAATATGGGGTTGTTCAACTGTACTGCTTTTTATTTACTGAAAATCCCCTACTGTCCTGTCTTTGGCACAATTTAGAAACATATTGATCTAATTTAGTCAGTCTTTCTGGATTGTCTTTTTTGTTTTCTCAAAGGTCTCTATGTCCCTACTGTCCTGCCTATGGCACAGTTAAGCAACATATTGATTTAATGTAGCCAGCCTTTCTAGATTGTCTTTGTTCTGTTTTCTCAGTGGTTTGTTCCATTTAGGGTTTCTGTTACACCTATGCTGACCTTTTGCGTTTGTTTGGGAGTTCCCACGACATTTGTTTTACCCTGTAGTTTGGTTATCATGCTATGTTCCTCCTTCCGCTAGTTGCCCTTTTCCTTTTGGTAAGGGTTAACTATGAAGGGGGGTTTTAATGAGACCTCCAACTTCTATCAAAAAAAAAAAGTAATCATGTTATGTTCATGCATTTGTACTCCATTAAGTTCTCATAGAGTCACTTAAAAGGTTACATAATGGACTGTGCAAACAGGCAAGGGGTTTTAGTTTCTATCAAACTGTTTTATTTACAGCAATCATCATTACCTTTTACTATTAGGTGCTTAGCCTATTTTCTGTAAACTTAAGATGATGTCTGCCCTAATGCAGAAAAAAAGAATTGGGGAAAAATTTAAAAACAGATTTGAAGCTTATCAAATGACTTCTATCCTTATAAATATTGACATTTTCTATTCTATTTCTTGATAATATTGAGTCTGTTTTGATGTTTTCCTTGGCTATATGCCACTGATTCAGTTTATTTAGGTTCTCTAAAGTTTTTCTAACTTGAGGGGTGTTAAATGATGTTTTCCAGACATGCCTCTTGTGCTACTTCTAGAATTCCAGCTTGAGTAGGATTATATTTCCGGTCTTCATATAATAGTTTCTATATAATTCTTTTCTTTTCTTTATCAGGTAGAAGTACCTAATTTTTTCTCTAATTTGGATCTTAGTTTTGTCTAATCTTTCAGTTTAACTGATTACAAGATAATAGAAGAATACTCTAGCAACTTTTTCCTGCAAATATGTGATTGGAAGATTTGTTGCATCTTCTCCATTTGTTCTGGAAACTATTCTTAAGACCTTTTGTAAGACTGTGTCATTGGATGATTTACCTAAACTTTAGATTTCCAGTTGTGTAAGAACACCGAGAAACAGCACATTTTCGCTCCCAATTCAGAAACTAGCCCTCAGACCTTTTGTAAGATTGTGCCATCAGATGATTTACCTAAGCTGATAATATGCCTTTCGTATGTTTAGCATATGTAGATTTTGTCAAATATTAGATATGTTCTTTTAGTGTTGGCAGATCAGTAGATTTATATTTGAGGTCACCTATAAACACGAACGAAGGGTGTGATGGAGACTATTTATTGGACAGATTTAACAGTGAATAAAGGAGCTAACACCCTGCGTTGACCTGTCTTCTGGCATTGATTTTACAAAGTCTGCCACCTAAGATATTAGAGCAACTCATCTGGGTTTGTGACCTATTTTTGGAGATCATTGCAGCCTTTATCAGAGATTTTTGAAGGAGAGTAGGATCATACTTACCATGGTTGCTACCATCTCTCCATTGTTGTATTTGTATAACTTACACCTAACTGGCTTCTCTTGTCTTCTGGTTGTCTGGTTATATCAACTATTGATTGTACGGTCTGTACCATGTTGTTCCCTTGGTAACTTCTAGTTTGTTCAGGAAACCCGCAGGAAAATGAATCTGCTAATGAAGGTTAGTTCCTCCCTGGCTAATGCTATAAGTTTTAATAAGGAATGTTCTCTAGAATTTGTACGAATCTGTACAAACACTTCTGCTCAAGTGTAAAGAAAAAGTAACTGCTGTTGTTATAATAAATAACATTGTATCAATTGTGTTTTCATTTCTTCTGTAAGTCTAAGAAATATGAGAAACATCCTAGTCTTACTTACATGGGATTATGTTTTTTCAAGGCTATCAAAAGAACCCACTTGCTTCAAGTTAGTTACACAGGACAGGACTGGAAATATAGAGTTGTAATGCCCATAAAGTATGATTTGGCAATAAAGCAGGTGATGACAGCTTATATTATGACGTTATAAACTATCTGGGAGTTTGAAATCTATTGACTGAATATCAGTTTTCAGATAGTAGGCCATTTTTATGAGTGAAAGACTGTGCTTCATGATTTATTAGAATATACTTATCTCTATAGCAGTGGCTATTCTGTTCTCTATCCTATAGTTTTTAATGCTTCTTGAACTGGTTCTGTGCATAACCTTAGCGGCTTTCCTCTTGATTTTACATCACATCAGCAGCTCAGTTGCTTCTGCCATTCATCTTCAAAATCAAATTGCTGGCATTTTTTGTGTATATTTTGTTTATCATTATCAGTTTCCCCATAATTTATGTACTCACCTTTCCGTGGGTGAAACATCAAAGTGTCTACTTGTCAAATAACACTAATTAATCTTCTTTTACTAGTTAGTATTCTTCCCTTTTCTTTTGTCCTTAATGATTTCTATTGCCTGTTTGGGTCCTAGTACAATGAACCTAATAGAACTATAGAAGTACTTGCTGCCCTTTGAAATTTGTTGCTTCAATGAGTACTGGTCTATTTCTTTCTCAAATCGCCACATTTGAAACTTAATTCACCTAATCTGGCTATTCATCAAATAAGCTGTTAGCTATTGCTTAGTTTAAGAGCTGATTGGACTCAGGAAGATTTTAGTAGATGTCAGTGTGCAATCTCTAGATTTGAGGTTTATCACTCAATTCTTATGCCCAATGGAGAAAATTCCTTTTGGCATGCCCGTAACCTTCCGGTCTACTTCCCCCTCTCACACCCTCTCTTTTAATACTACTAATAGTCTACTCAATACTGCAATGAGATGGATTTTTGCGGATTACTATTCTGAAGTGGGAGTCCATTGTCTAAGTTACCGTGGTAACTGTTAAGTTGTTGAAGTGCCACCATTTAAAAGTGGAGCAAATTATTGAGAATATAGGATGTCATGGTTTGGAAGTACCTCCTTCATGCCTTTATTGTGTGAACTTGCGGTCAAAAGAAATTCTTAAACTTCTTGAAGGGATCCCTTCCATGTCTTGTTCCAATTGGAAAAAAACAATGACTAAGCACTGGAAGAAGCTTATTCATTGCATGAGTTATGCGGCTTTGCAAAGACATGGTAAACAATGATGATGCAAGATGAGCTTTCGAGTCAAGTAAGTGACGTAAACTTCTAAGAAAATTGTGTTTTCGCATTTTCCCCTCGTTGGGTGTCTTGTAAAATGATTTTCGTTATTTTTGCTTTATTAGACTCAGATTGCCAAACATTTCCCTTGTTACTAAAAATTTCTATGATGTTGTCAATCGTGATTGGGTAGTGCATTGTAATGTTGCTATATGGTTGCATGTTTTTAACATTCAGACGGAGAAAGTAGGATGTCTCAGTGTGAGCTGTGGTGATGATTTCATTACTTTTTCTATTGCACCTATTTGGAATACTTCTTATGCAGTGTATTGCCTCTTTGCAACATTTTTTTAATATATAGCTATTAATTAGTGGAGAATGCTTCAGTTAATTTAGTTTGTTATGCAAATATGTAGCAGGCTTGGTTTGTGCTTGTTGAATGTGAGTTTCATTAGACAATCACCATTTGGTCTCAGAAGTGAATAATGCTGGGAACATAATTGGAAAGATAACTCAAGGAGTCAGTGATTGAGGGTTTTGTGGTTAAGAATCAATGAATGTTGGTTTGCATGATGTAGAATGAAATAGCAGCTAGTAATATTCAGTAGGAAAGTAAAGGCTGTATTTTCACCTTAGGGCTGGTGTTATATAGTTGGGTCATTATGAAGAAATCCAAACGGCTAGATGTGCATGCAATCTTTGTATATTTTTATAATTATAGGAAAAGCTACTGTAAATTGGGATTTGCTAGGCATTTTCCATTCTATTCTGAAAGAGTATATCATTTTGCTGTCTTTATCGATGCAATACCATCAATTTTTCTGATCTGGAATTGTCGACTATAACACGCAATTTAAATTACCTTTATTGTGGCTGCTATTCTGGCATCTGAGCCTGGTATTTCATGTTATTGTCATATTTTATAACTTCTTGTGCCTTCCCATGCTTGGTTCTAGGCAATTTTGTTAAGTGTTACTGATTTATCATCTATCCAGAACCTACATGACTGCTTTCTGGTCTTGTTGGTTGTAATCAGTCCTTGTAAATTTTAGCTGTCGACTTTTTTTTGAATCATTAGCTGTTGACTTAAGTAAATATAAATGTGGTTCTTATCTATCTTGACGGCTATCATCTTTGCTCTCTTCTCCCTCCCACATTTTGTATCTTATCCCCTCTTCAAAATTTTAATTTGTATGTGTCATATTCTTGAATTTTTTAACTTCAAATCTTTTATTCTTAAATTATTTCCATTTCAGGCTTACGGATGAGAACCTTGCAAATTTTCTGTTTCTTCAATTATCCAGTGATGTTGGAGTTCCATGAGGTATGTTACATTATCATTGTTTACATTGTTGGATATCAATCAAATCTCCTAGAAGCTAATCATGTATATCTCTGGGTTTCCTTTTTTTCATTGAAAGATTGGCCTCTACTAGCAATACCATGTTCGCTGGTCATTTAAGAATGTAAATAGTATCCCATCCTTGGGTAGCCTTTTTAGTGACAAATAGCCTACAATAATAATCGCTATAGATGGCTGGACTTCTATTTGAATGAAGATCTTTGCATCCCCTAAATTATTAATTATAGTTTTGTAAGCAAACCTGTCTGTGGTTAATATACGATAAATTCTGGCTACATTGTGCATTTTATAGATAAAAATACACCAAGGATGTTTCAAGAAGAGTTGCAGCAAGATAGGAAATAATTAGAAGTTAAAGAAGTTGTTATGCACATCCTTGCCTTCCGGTAGTTGTAGATAAGAAGATAGACAAGTAAGGTATGTCGGGTAGAATTGCAGCAAGATAAGGGTTAAAAATAGAAATGTGAGGATTTCCTCTATTTTGCTTCTGGATCTAAAGTTTTTAAAGATCTGCACAATACCCTTGCTTTTGGTGTCTTTGAGAGCTGCACACTTGACACTGTAAGTCTATGACATGGGGCAACAGGAAATACAGAAAAAATTACGTGATCTTGGTTTCAGTAATTTCACCAAATCACTGAATATAAGTGCCACCTCAAAGTTTCTAGCTCATGATATGCGATGCTGATGGCGATTATAACTTTGCTTTGGTGTGCAACAGTCTTTTTCATCTGTATTACTGTCGAACCATTGAACGGGGAAGGTTTCTTAAGGTCACAAGCTTTTATGTACATCGGCTATTTTAGCTGGAGATGGTTTATGATGCTTTCTAGAATTCATGTCAATCAATATATTCTTATTCCCATTTTTATGTTGCAGATTGTGACCCCCTTTCTCATGGCCAAGACGGACATTAAAACTGCAGGTGATTTCTCTTGTCATCACGTTGCTTTTCCCCCCAAATACAGTTGATGCCTTGTTCAGGTTTCCACTTTACCATGTTATTTCCAGAAGTTGTGCTTCTTCCCGACTTGGTGGTTCATTCTTAAACCGGTATTTCCCGGAACTGGTTTGAGAATAAGATTCTCCCCATTGATGACACCAAAAGGAACTGTTGGTTTCTGTGTGTAAATGCAATCTCCCAGAACGCTTCTGCAATTCTTGATGGATCAGGGTTTTTCTTCAGCTATATCCGATCAAGGGATCCAAGGCTTGATGTGACGTCAAACCGTCAACAGGTGTGTAAACTGTTTCAAGCAGTTAAATTTCAGACAAGATTTTCCTTGGTTCATCCCTTCATGCATAGGGATTTTTATTCAGCTATATCCCTATTGACGGTGCTCGGGCTCTGATATGACATCATCACGAACATCCAGGTATGCAGACTGTTCCAGGAAGTTAGATATCAAAGAAGGAACCGTTTCTTTGCTTCGTCCCTTTGTGCATTAGGATCTTTCTTCGGCTATATTCTATCCAGAGTGCTCGGGTTTGGTATGGTGCCACTACAAACCGTGCAGGTATGTTAACTGTTTCAGAACGTAGATTATAGTTGTTTAGCATGAAAAACAAGAGTACCATTTATTATTATAGCAACTTGGCATCTCAGACGCCGAATAGTAGTTTGTACTACTCGGCTTCGGATGAGAATACAAGTATGTGTTTAACATGGATATGTTCAATTTTTTATATTTTTTTCCTTTATATTTGGAGGGTTGTATTCACATATCCAAAACATTAAAAACAGGATTTTGGCTTTGAAAAATTACCCCTTTATTATAGGGCCCTCAACGTTTGGTGATTGAAGCCAAAAGTCTTCAAAATAAGAAAGGATGATTATATGATTCTTTGCAGGTATATTTATTGCAAGGTTTGATTAACTGTGGCATACAATTGAGGGATTAATTAGGTGTTAATTTATTTAATTTTCTATTTATGCTATGTTTTAGTGTATGAGTTAGTAAAATTAACTTTTCTCGATAATTTTTAGCCACCAGATTGGCTTAATTTGAAGATTTATATTATTTCTTTATATTACAAATTCTTTTATAATTTAAAATAATTCAAGTAATAATTGAATTTTTTCCCTTATTTATATATCAAACGTGACATTAATACCTTATTTTTATTAAATACAAGAAATGATAAATTACAACCATGGTCACTAAAATTTGAATGTTTTTATTTTGGTTATTAAAGTTTTAAGAAACTAATCTTAGAATTTATCGGTATGCACTCGATGTTTTGAATTATACAAATAATTTACGAGCCCAAGGCAAGACTCAATTTAGGGTTGAAGAGAAAAAGGCTTTAAATTTTTTGCATAAATGAGGATAAGATATTTTTCTGCCACTAACAAGTATTCCACATCACCTTTTCATTTTTTTCTTTTATTCAAAATAATCTATTTCGAAAACTGAATGGTAAAACTAAAAGTCCCAGATGAAAACAAACCAAAATAGAAACATATGAAAAGTTGGGTGACTAAAAGAATAGTTTTTCCTCCTCCAGATGACTGTTTTCTTTTGCCGCCACAAATTGAAAACAGCAAAAGAAAACAGACCAAATCAAAAACAAAAGATTTGCCCAGTTCCCGGCTTAGCTTCCCACCAACTTCAAATCCCTCTCGTCTTTTCAATTCAAATCTGAAATGAAATACCCTTTTAAATTCTAAAACCAAAACCCAATCTTTAATTCTTTCAATAGATCCCCAACAATACCTCAAATGAAAAAGAAAAAAAATCTCAACTTTCTGTTTTGCAGAAAATGGATAGCAGATTTCAAGTCTTACCACCTCTCAAAAGATTTAGGCTTTTGCAACAACAAGGACGAGACGATGAGTTCAATGGCACCAAAGCCAATTCTTTTTGTCTACCGACGAAGAAAAGGAAGGAGTCCATAGATGTTCCAGTGGGTGAAACCACTACGTGTTGCTTGCCCGCCAAGAAAAGGATAGGGGATTTCGACCTGATTTTGATTCCGGTAAGCCTTTTTTGCCTTTTGATTTGAATATTGAGAATGAAGCAAGTAGAACCAAAGGAAAATAGTAGAAACCCAACTCGTAAAAGTCCCCAAAAATGCACTTTTGATGCTCAAAATGAGATTTTGGATAGAAGCAAGAAAACCCCATTTGAAAAGTGTTCCCCCAAATGCATCAAAACGAGACAGGAAGGAGACAATACGATAATGAATCCTACCTTTTGAACAAGGTTGCAAAGAAGAAGAGGAGGAAGATGGGATTTTGTGTGATATTTGTAAAAGTACGGATGGGGATCCAAAAGATCCATTTGTATTTTGTGATGGATGTGAGTTAATGGGGTACATTCCACATGTTACGGGGATCCATTGATAAGACAAATCCCAGAAGTTTTGCAACCTTCGCTTAGCCTCCTAATCTGATAAAACCAAGAATGATAAGCCCTTTTCTTGTTGCCTATGTCTTAGCAAAGTAGGTGCGGTGAAGCCCACGCTGGCGACAGTAAGTGGGCTCATTTGGTTTTTGCTCTTTTGGCTCCGGAGGTGTTCTTCAGGGATCCTGAAGGAAGGGAAATGATTGATTGTTCTAGGGTTCCTGACAGTAAGTAGTGCCCTTTTGTTTTCATACAAAGAAGTTCTTGGTTGGTTGAATCATACTCCATCCATTGAACATTCGTAACAAAAACAAGTCAAATTATCCATAACATGGTATTGGAACCAAAGTTTGTTTTGAGATTCTCTACAGCTTGCGTGTGTATCATATGACCGATTCCAACGACCCGACTTCCGAGCAAAGAAACCGAACCCACATCATGTTAACCGGCATTATCCTAACTTCTTACTGACCAAAATTTCAAGTTTTAGGCTTCTTTGGTGCGCCTGAATTCCCTGGCTCGGCCTTGCGCTTGATTCCCAAGAAATGCTCAACCTATTGAATTGATTGGTAAACAAAAATTAACTAAACATGATAACTTGATAATAAAAGTCTGAATTTTTGACACACCGACGAAATCATCCGCATTAATGAAGAGTTACAGCATCATAAGCATCTAGTAAATAAATAGAACGATGCCTGAAAACCGATTCAATGGCAACAAGCCACGACTGTTTTTCATGTATCTTGTAATGCAAGGTAAGAATTAACTTGCCTTTCTATCACCGATCATAGGTGTCAAGCTTCCTGGAAAATCCTTCTCGACAGTAGCAAAGCCGCTTGCAGGATCACTAGTTTGCCTGAAATTAATCACAAAAGAAATGATGAACAATTGCAACCTATTAAAAATGTAATGAACAAGCACTTAAATTAGGAAATGATAAAGCATTATAAGAAGTGGTAAGCCATGTCAACAACATAAAATGGTAAACCAAGCTTCATTTCCCGCAAGAACAAGTTCCGGTAACTGCAGATAAGACTAAAAGCCACAAGGTCGCAAACCCAAGATGAAAGATACATTACCAATGGAGTGGACTAAGGTACCAAGATCGTTGAATGTCCATTCAGAAAAATTTAAGGCCACTATAATATAGAAAAGAAAGAAGAAGAAACTAGATAGTACATCCTAATTCTGAGTAGCTGATATGATACATGAACTTGTTTTAAGTTCTTGAACTGAAATTTAGTTTAAATCCAACAAGCAGAGACTGTAAATTAACCCAAGGAAAGATGAAACATACCCTGGTTTGACATGACCACTAAGGACAAGGTAGGGTGTTTTCAACTGAGCTTGAGCTTCCCTCATCCTCTCCACTGAAAGTGAAGGTGTATCCGAGTTTTTCATTTGCTTCAGCTTCAATTCTTCTTGATATTGCTTCATCCGTTTTTCTTGCTTCGTTTTACCTGGCCCTTTCCCATGAAATTTATGAGAAAGATTCCGGAAGGCTTCCTTGGGAGTCAACTGGAGAAGATAAGAAAGTCATAATTTGCAAGCTCAAATGCATATATAATAGGACATAAATTATCATTAAATATATAAGCATTGGACTTGTTCTAAATCACAAATTCCGATACCAAAAGCAATACGCTTTTTTTTATAAGAATTATAGGCCTCGTTGAAAACCCCCTTCATGATTAATGGAGCTTGTATAGAAGCTCCTTAATCAGAGGAAGGAGGAAAAGAGTGCCTTAGAATTTCATTAATAACAAGATAAGATACATAACAAATACAACACCCAGAAGGTTCCCTTACATAAAAATCTTAAACCCAAAAATCAGCCTTAACATCAACACTTAAATCAGCCTATTCCAGCCTTAGCTAAGGCATCAGCCTCTATGTTAGCTGTCCTAGCAACCCAAAAGCAATACGCTTCAGCGTGCCCATTAACTTAAAGCATTTCTAATCCTTGACAAAGTTACGTTTTTTCTGTTATTTGACGTTAATATTATAGAACTATAGCCCCTATGCTTAGAAAGAAATAGAGCAGATTGAAGTACTAACAATTCGACCAAATTCATCTGTCCTTTCGATGCGAATATCTTTAAACCTATCATTTTGACGATCTTCATCTACAATGCCAACAAGTTTGCTCTTTTTCTTGTCCATGTTCCGACCACCCCATTCAATAGTTTCTTTAAGTGTTCCTCGATCTTTAAGCAGCTTCAGTACGCCTGATAATCCTTTGCCAACTGCAACTTCGTGAATAGTTTCATCAGGAACAATCTCATCCTTATCCTCATTAGCAGGCTTTTCATCAGCACTACTAGTATCAGCTACTTCCGACCATCCACCCACCTCATTTTCTGCATTTTTTTTGTCTTGTTCAGAAGCTCCAGGTACTTCATCCTCATCCATGAAAACATCTTCACTGTCAGGCTTATGGGCTTCTGAAGACCAAACCAACATTAAAAGTTATTATTTACCAGAAAGATATGATGTACATAAAGACAATTCTTTTTATTATTATTATTACTATTGAAAAGAGGGTCAAGTTGGCTGGTCTAAGCGTGTGTGGCCAAAAGAGAAAAAGGGAGATTCAAAAGATAAGATAAAATTAAGACAAAAATGCGTGACTGGAGTAAAACCTAGAACCTAAAACTTCCCTGAGACTACCCAGCACAGAAAACTGTGAAGCTAAAATATGTAATCCAGGTTTTTAGCAGATGATACAATAGTTGGCAGTACACACAAAAAAAGGGGTCATGTTTTGAACAAGATCATAGTGATGTAAATTTTGAAAGAAAGCAAACCTTCATCAAGCTGAAGACCCCATACAAACTCCTCCATCTCTGTGATTACAACCTTGTTTTCCTGTACCTCTCCAGTGTAGGTGTTTTGATCATCTGCAGTTTGATTGCTGGCAGCTTTAGTAGCAAGAAGTGCAATAGCTAGGGACCTGATTTTTCTTCTTGCTTTTTAAGAGCCAACCTCCTTGCTTTTTCAAGCGATTTATAAAGATCCTCTTCATCATCAGCAAAACCTTGATTTTCATCTTCTTCAGGCTTTACTGTAAGAGTTTGTTCAAGCCGGAGTAGCTTAGATGCCTCATCTGTTTTGGCGTATGCTGCTTGGTATGCATTTTTTCTCTTTTCAGCCTCAGATCTGGCTTCCTCCTCTTTAATTGCTTGTCTTCTAGAGTCATTTCTAGAACCAAGATCTCTAGCACCAAGCCCAGAAGAGATGGCTTCTGCTTCA